AATATAGCATTGGCCTATAGAACTTGATTACTTCTGGAAGAGGGTGGTATGGTCAAGGAAACATGGTTGGACAATGCATGGGAGATTATGGAAAGTCATGATACGAGCAAAAGTTAATTGAAAAATTGTAATGCATATTCTCAGCTAGATGTGAAAGTGAATGAATAGAAGACTGAGACAATAAGAAGTCAAAATTAGATGGCACTAGAATTAGAATGTCCAAATATACCAAGTAATACATGTAAGTGACAACATTTCCAATTCAATAATCTATCAAGATAAAAAATAAAAGTTGTGGTGTACTGTATTAGATTTTCAGTAGCTGGACAAAATATATAATACCTGTAAATACAAGGAGAAGTTTCTTTCAGTTAACTATTTTATAGATTTCAGTCCATACTCAGCTGATCCTAAGGCCAAAAAATTATGGTAGAAGGGCATGTTACAGCAAAGCTGGTAACTGAGAAGTGAGTGCAGGGGAAGAGTGCTAGTGAGAGAAACAACCTACAAAGGCAGTCCTCTGTGACCTACCTCCAGTTGGTCCGACCTCCTAAGACCTTATGGTGCTGTGATTAACAGTGGATAAATCCACCAATGAGTACATTGCTCTCATGATCCTATCACCTCTGCAGAGTCTCTCAATCCAGTGAAGCTGACAATTAAGAGTAACTGCCTCAGGGCCCTACATACCTACTTTTCCATATTATTACAGAGTTGTGAAATCCAAGGTGTTTTTGAGGGATAAAATTATAATATTTTAAATATTCACAGATGATAGACTATTAAAATAAATGAAAGCATCTATTTATATTTTGGAAAAGTAAAAAAGACTATCTAAATACTATAACTTGAATGTGTTCTGTCTAAAATTAAGGTATTGACACTTGACAATTAATGTGATAATAAAAAGAAGTGGGGTCTGTAAGAAGTGAGTAGGCCATGAGAATTTCTTTCTTGTGAATGGGTTTAAGGCTCTTAGGCAGAAGTTTTTTTCAGTGATTGGCTTGTTTACCCTTTGAATTTTGCCATGTGAAGGCACAACAATGCTCTTTTCTGAAAGATGTGATTCTGTAGTGACAAACAGAAACACTAAAATATCACCTAGGATTTGGACGCAGATTTATTTACATTGACAGACTCTGATAGGGATTTATTCCCAAACTGTCAGGCCCTAAAGACTCAGGGAGGGAGGTATTTATGGGGTTGCAAAGGAGAAGTACAGAAGCAGAATGGCTTGTCAACTGGGGACTGGTTCTTACAATGTGCATCATAGTGACCAGCCATGCAGCACAGTGGCCAGCTGTTTCTAAGAAATAGAAGTAACAGGAACTGGAACAGGAATTGAATAAAACTGGCGGTTACTTAGGCAACTAACAGAAAGCATGCTGGCTGGTGGGGGGGTATTTTCTGGTATAATTCCATTGTACCATCTTGGAAGCTGAGAGCAGCACTTGCTGAACAAACAACTTGCTGGCACCTACAGAACCATGAGAAAAAATATGTATTTCAAACTAACCCTCTTCTATGTATTTTATTAGTATAGCACAAATGGACTGACACCATACTTTATGTGGATATAACTGTCATAAAATTAAGTTTCATGTGGCTCAGTTTTACACTGATAATCTGGATATAAAGAATGCACTGAAAAGCTTGACACACTCTCTTTCTGAAATGTACTTTTAATTGAAATGTTGACATGTCCTATGCAACTAGAATAGTTATATTTTGGTTCTTCTCTTACTTGCCATCTATTTCCCTAAAAATCTTGCCTATTGTTCACTGACTTCTTCTAATTCCTTCACGTCACACTCTTCTCACCTTCACCACAGACTCAAGTCTGATTCCCTTCAAAGATGAAGAAATATGTAATCTGAGTAGAAAACCCTGTGGTGATATATTTGCAACTGTCACACAAAATGTAATTTTTATGAGTATAATAGCTGAATTTGAAAATCAAATAAATATTATATCTTTGATGGGCAATCCCATTTTATCATATGTTGTGAGCTATCAGCAAAGTTGCATACTAAAAATGTTAGGAAACTATAAAAATTAAGTATGTTTTCAAAAGCAGATAAGTGGTAATGAGAATGGTGAGGTATGGTTAAGTTTCAGAAATATTTTGAAGATGATTGTACAATATTTGTGAATGAATTACATTTTTAATGGAAAATAAAGAGTTAAGTATAACGTTGAGGTGTTTGGCCCTAGTATCTGTGAGAATAGAACTACTAGAACACAAAAATTCTTTTCAAGGAATTTCTTTTCTTGAATGTTTGATTTGATCAGGGAATTAGTCATATGTACAGGTCTGGAGTTTAGTGGAAGCATATCAGCTAGAGATAAACATTTGGGAGTAATTGGCCTATAAATAAAGCCTTAAAACATGAGGTAGAATAAAAAAATACCTTGGGACAAAGTATAGAAAGAAGAGAGTTTGGCTCCAAATCTCCAATCCAACATGCAGAATCACAATAATGGAGAGAAATGAGAAAATAAATAGGGGAACAGTATAGGTTTGTGGGAAGCAGTAACACCAGGTGAGCATCATACCACAGAAACCAAGTGAAATAAAGATTTCAGGCAGAGTGCTACAAATGTTCTCTTAACTCTGACAGGAAAAAAATAGAGAAGAAAGAAAGAGAGGGAGGGAGGGATGGAGGAAAAGGAGAGCTCCTTTTTCCTGAGAGATGAGTGCAGGGGAAGAGTGCTAGTGAGAGAAACAACCTACAAAGGCAGTCCTCTGTGACAGGGAAGGAAATATTCTGGTGAGGGGAGGAAGGAAGAGGGAGGGAGAACAGGGAAGGAAATATTCTGGTGCGGGGAGACAATATCATATTAAACCTCAAATATTTTTTGCAAGTAAAATCTCAAATGTAGTGGCCAGCAAACAATTGCAGAGAAGAAACAAGTAGAACCACACTCCCCCCACAAGAAATACAGGAACAAATAGTCTTCCAATGTTGGAATTTCCTGGTACCTTACTTCAACAAACTGTGTGCTATGTTTAAGGACAAAGGTAAAATATATCTTTTGAATATTTTTCCTGCCTTTGTTCTTATTCCTAAAGTACTTATAAAAGGATTCATATACACTCTAGAGGTGTGACAGCTAAGGTGGATTATCAATTTGCTTGACTTGAGAGCTGCCCACTGGATTAGAAAACACTTCAGGTTCTGTCTGGGTGAATGATGGAAGCTGATCTTGGTCCCTGGCCCCTTTATCTCTGGCCCTGAGCCACTGATCTGATTTATAAAATATTGAGACCATGTTTTTAGGGTCTGTACAGCAATTTTTAAAAAGGCAGATATATTGGTGGATTTAACAGAATTTCTTGGAATGAGTTAGAGAGAAAGAGAGAGAGAGAAAAAAAAAGGGAAAGAGAGAGAGAGAGATGGAACTATATCAGAGTTTTCTAGAGTATTAACTCTTATCTTGCCCTTATAAATACTACAGTGTAGTTCTAATTTAATGAGAACATATCTATGTTTATAAGAGACTTTTAAGCATACCCAGGTGAATGTTTATAACTTATATGCTTATAATAGGGTAGAGTCATCTGTTTTCAAGGGACAAGCTCTAAATTAAACGTTAGGGTTAAGGTTAGTATTAGGAAATATTAAGTTGAATATGCCCAGCCAAGTTCAGACTTGTCTTTTTCTGTAAACAATATGCTACTATCTTCTTCCTAGATTTTTTCTGTGGTAAGCAGAGAACTGGAGTAGTGATCTTCTTTTACTAAAGCTCAGGGCAGTCTCAATCTATGAATGATGATTATTTGTGGAGACTTGCTAAGATCCATCTCACTGGGAGCACACATATATTAAGAAGATCAAGCAGGGATTAAAGCAAAATCATGGTTACAATTTTCCGAGATCATATTGAAAATATGTTACAATAGCACAGGTTAATAGGATGATAGTAATGAGAATATCTACATAATTTTAAGACTAGGATACCAATTTTAGGAATGTAATGTAAGAGCTTGAAAGTCAGAGCAAAGGCATGGGAGCTGTTTTCGGAAGAGTTGTGGTGCTAGCTGATCTGCAAGATGAAGGGATTTTGTTCTCTGAAGGAGCAGCTCAGCCTCAGTGGCTTTGTTTTATTTTAAACAGTTGGACTTCTGAGTTTATACCTCCAGGTTAAAAAAATACTGTTTTTCATCCTGACTGAAATTTCAAAGCTTCAGATTTAATTTTCAGTAATCACTGATTTTTATCTTTATTTGTGAATGTATGTCTTAAAACTCACATACAAAAAAATGGAGTAATATTCCTTTCCTGCTGCTCTATCTGCTTCAGTCTTACTTTTTTGAGGTGCTAACTTTTTCTTTTTTAGATTTTCATTAAAATTAAGTACTTTAAAAATATTTCATTCTTTAAAACTTTTTTTATATAGTGAGTACAACCACTTTGGTTTTAATAGTAAGCACTTTGGACAGCCTTTGGGGCAGGTTTTCTATTTCAGATTTTTTTTTCAGTACATGAGAGGTCAACGGTTGGAGATATATAGGATCATTTTGGAAATAGCATTATTTCAAAATTTGTAAAGATACAAAAAATTCCTGTAAGGAAGGGTGGGGAGGGACTGGTTTAATGTTTTGGATATAGATCTATTATTGTTGCTTTATATTTTTGCCTTTTTTTGAGTTTGTAATATTACTTTTGATAACTTTGTTTTAGATAAATATATTAGCACTGTTTCCAAATAATTGTAGCCATCTATAATTTATCAATTTAAAAATATTGCTGATTTTCTTCCTTCTCTAGAGCAGTAAAACTGTCTCAGAAATGAAGAAACCTTAACTTCTTGTAAACACATTTTTTACAAGGAAAAATACCAAGAGTTTGGTCTGATAGAACAAAAGGCTTGATAAAAGTGAGATCACTATGAAATATTAAATGTGATTGAGAAGGTTAATCTGATAGTTGTATACAGGAAAATAGTCATAAATTAGAAGGTCTAGTTAAATATACAAATTTTCTTTGATCAAAACTTTACCTTCCTTGAAAGAAATGTAATCTTTTTATAGAGTCACTGAAAGCTTGTTTCACTTGCTTGTTCCTCAAGGTGTAAATGAAGGGATTTAACAAGGGTGCAACAGAAGTCTCCAGAAGTGAAACTCCTTTATTGATGGCCACCTCTTCTTTTGCTGATGGTTTGAGGTAGATGAAGATGCAGCTGCCATAGGTCATGGAAACCACAATCATGTGGGAGGAGCAGGTAGAAAAGGCCTTTTTTCTTTGCCGGGCAGAGGGGAATCTCACTATTGTCCTGATGATGTAAGTGTAGGACAGAATCACACAGAGTAATGTAACAATTAGTGCAAATACTGCTACAAGGATAATCATCTGTTCAATTACCCATGTGTCTGAGCATGAGATCTTTAAGAGAGGACTTGCATCACAGCTAAAATGATCAATGGCATTGGAGTCACAGAATTCAAGCTGGAGGCCCAAGCTAAGAGGTGGGATGATAATCATCAAACCAGATACCCAACAAGACAAAACTAATAACATACACACTCTGTTGTTCATGATGGTCATATAGTGAAGAGGTTTACAGATGGCCACATAACGATCGTAGGACATGGCTGCCAGGAGAAAAAATTCAGTTGCTCCAAAGAGAATAACAAAGAATATTTGACATGCACAAGCATTGTACGTGATGGTATCATCTCCTGTTGATAAGCTGTATAAGAATCTAGGAATACAGACGGTGGTAAATGAAACTTCTAAGATAGAAAAATTTCTAAGGAAAAAGTACATAGGAATTTTAAGATGGGGATCCACCATTGTGAGGATGATAATAGTCAGATTTCCAGTTACACTCAACACGTAGGTGAGAAACAGAAAGATAAAAAGCAGAACTTGTAGTTGTGAGTCATTGGTCAGGCCCAGCAATATGAAACTTGTTATTACTGTGTGATTTCTCATCACTGACATTTGATGTTTACAGAATCTTCTTGTAAAAATCAAGACTTCTATGAACAGTTCGATATTAAAATTCTGTAGAAAAGAGAGTTGTCCAAATAAAAGTTAGTTTACATTTGATTTTCCCTTTTTCATCAGGATCAGTATCTCCACTACTTCAATGACTTTCCTGAATTTTATATGCATGAGAAGTGCCAAACTCCTTAAGGCTTCATGTTACAGAAAAACAACCCAATTTTTAAAAAATAAATTTTTTACAGACCTGAGGATCGGTGGAGCAGATTAGATGATGTAGACACAGCTGCAAACACACTCGGCCACCTTACCTTTGACAAAGGGGGCAAATATGTTCACTGGAAGAAAAATAGCCTCTTTAAGAAATGGTCCTGGAAAAATTGGCTTTCCACATGCCAAATACTAAAATGAGACCCATGTCTCTCACCATGTACTAAATTAAAGTTAAAATAGATCAATGATCTAAATATTAAAATAGAAACACTAAATCTAATGGAGGATAAAGC